GGTTCCAAATATGGGAGAGAGTGATTTAAGCCACTTATGACTGTTTTATAAATTCTTTCTGATTTAAGCCACTTAACGGCTATTTTACAAATTCTTTTTATGATAAGGGTTATGAATTTTTTTCAACTGAAAACAATGAACTCATAGAGAATATTAGTCAGTGTACACAAGTAAATAAAAGAAATTTAATTGGATATTGGGGTTTTTACATATAAAAATGTATATTTTACATATAAAAATGATGGAGCATCTTCCATCTTCATTTATAGAAGAAAAATACTCTTTTTATAAAGTAACATTCCCATTCATTCAACCAATATTTACCAAATGCCTTGATTTTGAGGACACATGTTAAAAATGTTTAAGTCTGGTTTTTCGTTTTCCCAGTTCTAAAGAAAATATCAACAAACGGCATTTGTTTCTTGGGCTGGATAGACTAAACCATCCTCTAGTCCTCTTGCCCAAGCTTGAAGACATACTTGAGTTATTTCAGACTAACTTCTGTGAAGGGTGCTCTGATGATCTTCCCTTTTATTTAAAGAGCACACAATTGAACTACATTCATCAAAGAAACATTTTTCTTTTGTCAGATACCACACTTCCAGGACATAGAGTGATAAGTAGAAATGACCTCTGCTTTCACAGAGCTTGTATAAAATGAGATTAGGATTAGAATTATGTACTGTTTTTTTTAACCTTTTTACTATTACACTTTTCACACCATCTGCCTCCCAGAAGTAAGATGCTTTTTAAAAAATAGAAAAGTAAGCTGGGTGCAGTAGCTCACGCCTATAATCCCAGCTCTTTGGGAGGCCTAGGTGAGAGGATTGCCTGAGCCCATGGGTTCAAGACCAGCCTGGGCAACTTGGCGAGACCTCATCTTTTCAATAAATCAAAAAAGTAGCCAGGCGTGGTGGCATGTGCCTCTCGTTCCAGCTACTTGGAAGGCTGAGGCAGAAGGGTCACCTGAGCCCAGCAGGTTGAGACTGCAGTGGCCATGAGCATACCACCAGCCTAGGTAACTGTGAAACTCCAACTCAAAAAAAAAAAAAAGAAAAGAAATTAGCCTGGGCGTAGTGGTTCACACCTATAATCCCAGTACTTTGGGAGGCTGAGGTGGGAAGATTGCTTGAGCCTAGGATTCAAGACCAACCTAGGCAACAGAGGGAGACCTCATCTCTACACAAAACAACACAAAAATTTTTAAAAAATAAAATAAAAAGGTATAATAGCTTTAATTATTGAAGGATTTAAGAAAATCTGAAAATAACATGGATATTAAAAACCCAGAAAGGATTTTGAGACATGGATACAACATGAGGAATGGAGGACATCCATTAGAGGGGAGTGAGAATTCAGATTTTGGCTTCCTTCTCAAAGCACCTGCTAATCTGCGAGCAGTACATTTTTATCATTGAATTCTCCTGAGGCCTGGGTAAAGGTTTCTTCATACATGGAGATACACTAGTGTCAAAAAAGCACATATTTGTGAAAGTTTTTTTTTTGTGGTCAGGAAATTAGGTAGTGCCGGCAATGGTGAAAAACACACTTGGGTATTGTATTAGATTGCCTTGAGCAAGCCCAGGTTTACAGCACAAAGGGCTTGCTAGAACCGACAAGGAAAGGGAAGACTGGCCTGGGTGCTTGAGATGAGAAATGTCAAGGCTTTGGAGGAGACAAAGCTAAAATCATACTTTGTGGCTACAGCTGAAAGGGAAGAATTGCGCAGGGTTTGCCCACCTTCCTGTTTTCTTTTACAGTTCCTGTTCCTGACCCCTCCCCTCCACAACTCCGTGTGGCTGCTTTTTTATTCAACCAGCCACATTTCTTCCTTTCCCTACAAGGCTCACTGGAGGCAAGAGTAGAAGGGGGTGTGTGAGACAAGTTGGGATTTGTGATCAAAAATCAATTTGGAAAACTTATTTATTGTCTTTGAGAGGAAGAGAAGTTTGTCTAATTGTGGCCAATTGACTTCATTCACAGAGTTTATTGACAAAGTATTTGGCACCTCCCTCTACTTATTAATGTCACTCCTTCCACTTAACCATTGTTAAAATCTGCCATGGTCATCACAATTTTACTCAGAAGCAAATTGACTTAGGCCTACTCAGAACCATTCTTGGATGATTCTAATCAGGATTAGTTTCTAAGCCTGACCAAGTCCCAGCCTATCACCGAGCTCTAGGCCAAGGTGCCAGGATGCTCTAGTATTAAGAATCAACTTTTAGTGGTTATTTGATAGACAACCTTAACATCGAAAAATAAAATTTTGAATGAAAACCTTATATAACTATTTGATCTGGGCTTTATAACTTCTTAACCATGAAAATATATCTAAAACTAAACTCCTATTCCCTCCTGACCTATTCCCTTCTGTTTTCTCTATTAGTGAATAATACAACATCCATCTACTGAGTTTCAACCTGGAACCTGAGAGTCATTTTGTCCTCCTCCCATCTCTTTGATGGCCTACCTGAAAGTACAGTTTGTCTTTAATTTTTTTTTGAGTTAGAGTCTCACTCTGTCACCCAGGCTAGAGTGCAGTGGCATGCTGATGGCCACCCCAGTGTTGACCTGCTGGGCTCAGGTGATCCTTCTGCCTCAGCTTTCCAAGTAGCCATTACTACAGGCACACACTACCACGCCTGGCTAATTTTTTTGATTTATTGTAGAGACGGGGTCTCACCAATTTGCCCAGGCTGGTCTCAAACCCCTGGGCTCAGGCAATCCTCTCACCTCAGCCTCCCAAAGTGCTGGTATTACAGACTTGAGCCACCGCACCTGGCCACAATTTGTCTTTAACCAGAGCAGATGCGCAATAGTTTCTGACAGAGGAAAAAAAAAGCACTATATACCATTTTCTTTCTCCATTTCTGATTTCCTTTTTCTCTCTCTTCTTTCCTAAGACTTTGTTTCTTTCACAAATGTTTATTGAGTACCTGTTGTGGACCAGTCACTACCAAGTGCTGAGGAAATAGTCTCTAGCCTCAAGGAATTAATTGTCTAGGAGCGGGGCAAGAATGAGGGTATAGGAACAAGAGCTGTGGTACAATGTGATAAGTTAATGGTACAATGGGTTAAAGGAGGTGGGCATTCAAGGTCCATTGAGCTTGTAGAGGAAGTCTGTATCTACAGAGGGGTGCTGCTTCCTGAGTCCTGAATAGCAATTTTGAGATTGCTAATTGGTTAATGAGGGAAAATCTTAGGCAGATGAAATAGCATATGCAAAGCAGAGGTGTTGACCTAGCTCCTGGCAGGGTGGAGAGCTGTGTGCAATGGTTTCTGGAGTACAAAGTGCATGAGATGGTAGTGAGGAACCTGGATAGATAGATAGAAACTGGGTCATGAAGGCCAAGAGAGGGTAAAAGCTGAAAAACATCTTTTATAGGAAATAGAAGCCATTGAAGATTTTTAGTAGGCAAGCTAACAAAATCAGTTTGCGTTTTAGAAAGGTTACTCTGGCAGAGTATAAAGAATGGATCAAAGGTTAGAGAAACCTGGAAAAGTCTCTTCTATAGTTAAGGTTAGTAGTGATACCTAAACTAGCATAGAAGTGTGGAAATAAACAGGTAAGACTGGTGGGAGAGATATTTAGAAGACTTTGATTAAAAGTGTGCTATGAGGGAAAGAAAGGAGGTCAGGATGGACTCAGGTTTCAAGTTGAGAGATCACAGAGATAAGAAAGCAGAAGATGATGGGTTGGGAAGGAATATGAATTTCACTTTGAATATTTCAAGTCTCTAGTCCTATGGAATCATCTAGATTGTGGAATCATCCAGATTGTGGAATCATCCAGATAGTGTGCTGTGGGGTATACAAGATAAAGAGGAACCTATGGGGAGAATGAGGAAAAAGGCAAGCAAAACAGGAAGATATTCAGTAGGGTGTATGTTCCAACTGTCATGAGAGAAAAGAGTTTTAAGAATAAGTAGTTACCAGGTCCAATGCAACAGAAGTTCTTATGACATTAGGACTCAAGGATTTTGTTAGTGACCCAGGCAGAAGCAATGCTGGTAGCCTGAGGGTGGACAGCAGATTGTAGCAGGCTGGAGGGAGGGAGGGAGAGGAAGAAGTGAAATGGATACATGCACTCCTCTTTCCAGAAGATGAGGTCTGGAATTGTGCCAGTCACAGTACATAGCTCTGTCACCAGCAGCTAACACAGTCCTTGATACAGCATGGACACTCTGTACACTTTGTAATGATTTTACGAAGGGAGTGAGAGATTTCAACAATATCTCCATCTAGAAGGTTTCTGTATTAGCTTGTTTTTAACTGTGAGACACGAAAGAAGAAGGAGCTGAGACAGAGAGAGAGAAGAGAGAGGAGAGAGAGAACTTTAGGGTACAGGAGCAAGAAGATATAGGATGGGACAAAGTTCCTAAAGAAGGTGAGAGGGATGAGATTCAGGTGAGTCAAAGGATGAAGGGGACCCAGAAGGAAGAGAAGAACGTGATGAGTGCAGGGTTTGTAGGGATGGCATCACAAAATTATCTAGGCCTTGAGGAGTCACTGGTGATCGTTTCTACTTTTTCTGCAGAATAAGAATCTAGTGTCATGTGTGGAGAATTAAGCAGGAGATATTAGATAAGGAGCCTGAGAATGGTGATGCTTTGCTCCAACTGCTAATAAGGGAATGGCAGAAGTTGCTGACTAGGGACAAGAACCCTCTCCTTGTCTGCACTAGGAGGTAGTGTGAGGTCCAGCTCCAGTCCTGCCCAGGATCCCACCCTTTAAGGATGAGGCACTTCAGCCCTCCTTTCTGATGCTGTAACCACATCCCTACCTTTGACCTATGTACTCTGGACTCCTCCCCCTTGATCGAGGCTGCAGTCTTTCCCCACTTGGAATAAGGGCAAACTCTAATGGAAGGTTTCCCCCATTCTAATAAGATGGAAATCTTTAAAAACAAATGTGTTGGAATTATTGGTTTCATAGAAGAAAATACATCATCAGCCACTCAGTTGAATGGCATGCTATCATTATTCCCTTTTCTTCCAGGAATCTACTATGCAACTGTGTACTGGATGCCGACTGAAAAAACAATAGAAGTCAAAAACATAATGGACAGGAATGGGGATGCCTATGGCTTTTACAATAACTCAATGGCAACCACAGGCTGGAGCATTCTGGAGATCAGAGCTGGGTATGGTTCTCAAGCCCTGAGCAATGAGATCATCATGTTTGTGGCCGGCTTTTTGGAGGGTTACCTCACTGCCCCGTAAGTATCCCAGTCATGGTGGAACAACTGCCAGGCAACCCCTATCCTTTCCTCATCCAGCAGTGGTTCTTGTCATCCTGGCATTGCATAGTAGAATTGAAAATTAGCTGAGGTTGCCCCCTCCCCTCTCTCTCTTTTTCTCTCTCTCAAATTTAATTTCTAAATAAACTTTGCTTGAAAACTTAAAAAAAAAAAAGAAAAGTAGCTGAGGTCATTCATATGTGGTAGAGATGTTATCAGAATTGCATTGTTCCTATAATCAATACTGGTGTTGAAGGTATAAAGCCCCATGTGTGACGCTCTTCAATTCTCATGGCACTTACCTTTAAAAAAAAAAATTTTTTTTTTTTAATTTTTGAGTCGGAGTCTCACTCTGTTGCCCAGGCTGGAATACAGTAGCACAATCATGGCTCACTGCAGCCTTGACCTGGAATCAGGCAATCCTTCTGCCTCAGCCTCCTGAGTAGCTGAGACTACTAGTGTGCACTACCACACCCAGCTCATTTTTTTATTTTTTGTTGAGACAAGGTCTCATTATGTTGTCCAGGCTGGTCTCGAACTCCTGGGCTCAAGCAATCCACAGTCCTCCTGTCTCATCCTCCCAAAATGCTGGGCTCACAGGCATGAGTCACCATGCCCAGCCCCACTTACCTTTTAAAAATCTTTCCTTCTCATGAGACTATTTTAAAAGACAGAGAAGTCATTTCATCTTATTAGTCATTTGTTGTCTGGTAGAAAGCAAATGAGAGGTGGGGTGACTCCTTGAGAACCACAAAGCAGGGAAAGTTAATTGAAAAGACAAGGTAAGAGCATTTATTTTCAACCGTCTTGAAACAATACTTCCATGTGGGCAAAGAGATTTTAAAAGTAAATTTTAATGAGTCTAATATAAATGTTCCTTCCAGTTCTATTGCTACTTGGTTCTGGTGTCCTTGTCTTGTCTTATAAAAATAACAAGGATGTAATTAATAATAATGCAATCAGGATACATACTTTTTAGAGAAAACCTCTTTAAGGAAAATAAAATTGCAACTCACTTAGTGAATCCTCTGTCCTCCTTTGATGTAAAAGGTGTTTTGATGAACTGGCTTACTTACTTCTTTTGTTCTCTGTGACCTAGATTGTTGAGGGCAGTATAACCAAGTCTTATTTGAGCTGTTACTGCCCTTAGTCATCATAAGTAAGGTGTCAACCATATCTATTTCTGAGTACTGGAAAATATGTCAGATGTTGAATGACTAGTTATTGTAGTTATTGGGTTCTGGCTACTCTTTTTTTAAAATTCAAACTACAATTTGTGTTTTTATTTTTATACACAATTTTTGTTTCTCTTCCCTACAAGTCTCTTTGATAGCATACTATGCAGAGATGTATGAAACTTTATAAACTGAGTGATATATATATATATTTTGTGAGTTGGAGTCTCACTCTGTCACCCAGACTGGAGAGCAGTGGCCACTCCTGGCCACTGCAGCCTCGACCTGCTGGGCTCTGGTGATCCTTCCACCTCAGCCTTCCAAGTAGCTGGAACTACAGGCATGCGCTACCATGCCTGGCTAATTTTTTTATTTATTGTAGAGATGAGGTCTCGCCAAGTTGCCCAGGCGAGTCTCAAACCCGCGGGCTCAGGCAATCCACTCACCTCAGCCTCCCAAGGCGCGGGATTACAGGCTGAGCCTCCGAGCCCAGCTCAACTGATATTTTACAAACATGTTTGAAACCATTGTGCATGTAAAAATGTGACCTCCAAATCTTTATCCACTTCTGCATATATCGAGCTCTGGTGGTGTTACTTAAATTAAATTACAAGTTTGGAGAAATTATTCAAACCAAAGTTTTGTAAATATAAATAATTAACTCATGAGTGACTTATATAATGGGTTATTAAGAGAAACTATGTGGTTTGGAGGGAGCAGTTCTAATCTATGAGACTGTTCTGAGGATGACCATGCCTTCCTTGGCTATTTCTGTTGTTTTAGCTGTTCAAGCAATAGGTGGAGTTTGAGGGGGTTTTGACAAAGGTGGCGCTTCTGAGATTCTTATGTCTCAGAAAAATAAAATGTTTTAACATCTTACAGCAGTTACTTTTGGATGTGGTTTCATCATTTCACCTTCATTTTTTTTATATCAAACATTGACCTATTTGAGGGTAACTTTGTCTACTTACTTAAAAAGCCACAGAAAAAGAAGCCATTCTAGTAATAACTTTTTAAATACTTCTACAGTAGAGTAAAATTTAAATTTTGTTTTTTAAAAAAACACATTCAGCTACTATTCAGTAACTGCTTCCTTGTTTAATTTGCCTTTTTGCTATATCTTTTCAAAGAAAATTTGACATATATAAGTCAGCCTTTGAAGATATTTATTTATTTATTTGAGTTGGAGTCTCATTCCGTCGCCCAGACTGGAGTGCAGTGGCATGCTCATGGCCACTCCAGCGCCGACCTGCTGGGCTCCGGCAGTCCTTCCGCCTCAGCCTTCCAAGTAGCCAGAACTACAGGCGCGCGCTACCATGCCCAGCTAATTTTTGATTTATTGTGGAGATGAGGTCTCTCCAAGTTGCCCGGGCTGGTCTTGAACCTGCGGGCTCAGGCAATCCACTCGCCTCGGCCTCCCAAAGTGCTGGGATTACAGACTGAGCCACCGAGCCCTGCCAAAGACTTGTTTTTTTTTAAGCCACTTGCTGCACATTGTAACCCAGGCTTTGAGGATTTGAGTCTGCCTTCCCTTCAGACCGGCAGCAGCAGCCCAAGGATGAATGATTGGGAGTGAAGCAGAGACAGGTCTGGTCATCTCAGCCAACTATTGGATCCGTCAGGAAGAGTTGGACCATTTTTGACGGCACCTCTGCTACAGAGAACAATCTCAGAAGAGTTTTTCAGCCATAAGTACAGAGAGTGATAAAGTCATTGCGGGCAGAATTAAGAGAACAGAGTACTGGAAAGGGCACTGAGTCTGAAATGAGTAAGCTGCATTTACAATGAGCAAGAAGCGGAGGCACTGACTGAATAAGCCGTGCACAAGTTTAAAAGGGAAAATGGAGGCCATGTGTGGAAGGCCCTGAACGGAGGCCCCTTCAACAGTCCTTCTCTACTGCAAGCAGAGAGTGCTCAGAGCTTTCTTGGATTTAAATTTCCTATATCCTGTCCAGTAGTTCATGCCTGTCTAGCATTTGTGTTCATCTCTATCTAGTACTTGTGACTATGAACATTCTCCCAACCTTCTCAAAGATAGGCTTCCCAGATACGTGCTACCAAGAATCTGAGAGGACTTCTGTGGCTCTCCAGAGACTTTGATGTAGCTTATTGAACCAGAAAGGTGTTGGTGAACAGAAGGTGCATGATGAAAAACTGAGGGGGGTGGATGAAAAAGAGAGGTCAGCATTTCTATAGGAAGAGAAGGAAAAGGCGTGGGGACAAGGAAGAGAAGGGAAAAAGAAGGTGAGGGCAAAGAGGGAGGAAGGCGGGAGGAAGAGAAGGGGAGGAAGGAAAGGTTGAAGAATTAACTCAAACCCATCTTTAGAAGAGCCTTTCCCATAAGCTGATTTTCAAACACTGTCATTCTAATAGCATTAATGAAAAATCAAATATAGCAAAAGATTTCCCAGATCAGCATAGTATCTAAAGGGCCTACTCTGTGCCCAGCTGAAAGCCAAGAATGAGAGCCTGACCCACTAATGACCAAGCTCACTTAAAACAGACCCCTGGCAAGGGGTTGAGGAAGATGGGAGAGAAGGAGGGTGTCACTTTTTCCTTTCTCTTCATCTGATGTTGTCTAGGTTGAAGGCCCATTGCACATTTTGATGTCCAAGAGTTTATTCTGAAGGCAGGGATATGCCAAATGGACTAGAGGAGCTGGGCTCATAAAGGCAAGAACCCCAGTTGGGAGAATAGAGAAGATGCTGGATCTGTGGGGATGCATCTCCCAGACCAAAGGTACCACCAAGGACTGCTGCAATCAGCTTCACAGCTGCATAGCCGACTACCCTGTCTCAGCCGAGCAGTGAGGGGCAGCGTGGCTCCCTCTGAGCAAAGGTATTCAGCATTCTCTGAAGCAAAGCAGAAGAGCGTAAAATGTCAGCCATCTGGAAGCCACAACAATAGCCCACAGACCAATAACGGAGAAAAAATACCGGTCACAGGCTAGGTTTTATTTGTTTTTCAGCTACACGTGGGCAATTGCCTGAGAAACAATACCATCTTTACTCACAAACATCATTTATCAACTTAAAACATATACTCCTGGGGATTGCTACTTGGAACCACTTTGCAAGGTTTGATACCACACATTTAGACACAGCCTTTGAGCAAGGGCATCTGAGCCTGGGCTGGGAAGCAGCGTTCAAACCAGATGGGCCAAAAGAGCCTTCTTTTTGCATTTTCCTCTTAGCTTGCAAAGTTGCCCATGCATATGCCAAGGGGAGTGGGAAGCTTAGGGCTTCCACATCACCATGTTTAAATGGTGTTCCTTACATTCTCCTTCATCTTCAGGGGAGGCGAGGTGTGAGAGGACGGCCACTGTGAGATGAACAACTTAGATAAAGGAGATGGGTTTGATCACCTTGGAAGATTTTACTCGCTCCAAGTCAAGATAGCAAGTGTAAACTTACATGAAATATCCTCAAATCCTCAGAAGTCGTTTCCTTCGAAGTTGTCAAAAATTTTTTGCGCTGGGC